TTTAAATAAAATATATTTTAAAATTATATTATTTTAATAAAATAAAAAAATAAAATATTTTCATTAATATTTTTAAAATAATTAAGATATTTTAATTTTTTAAATAAAATTATAAATAAGATAGTTTTCGTGCCGAAGTTTGGGTACAGATTGGGTCTTCGGACCGAACAAGGACTGCGCGCTTGCTGTTAGGACGACCGAAGAAACATGGGTTTGGGTTTTGAAATGAGTATTGTGTTTTGGGCTGTAGGCAATTTTGTGGTTTTCGGACCAGACGTGGAGACATTTTGATTTTTGAGGTCCAATCCAATGTGTCTGCCTTCAATGCCATTCTTTCGAGTCCTTAATTTTTATTTCGAATTAACTCTCTTTATTTTAAATAGGTTTAATTTAATTTTTTAATTTTTTAAATATAAATTTTAAATAAAAATTTAATTTATTATATAAATAGAAATTAAAATTTTTTATTAAATAAAAATACTCAACAAAAATTTTATATAAAAAAATTTTTCATTATTATTTATATAAGTTATTAAATTTTTATTTAAAAATTAAAAAATAAAATAAAAGGAGTATAACATTTTCTCAAACAATATCTTTTGTGACTTCAACATCATTTTCAGACATGATTGGCCTTCCAACAATCATTTCTAGTAAGATTACTCCTATGTCATTAACATCTTGCTTGTCCTCATGATTTTCCCAGCATTTACATGCAGAAGATGCCATGCGGCTGTTATCTCTGGATTAAGACATTGATAAACTAAATGGGAAGACAAATTTCTGCACCTCGGTTGAGTATTTGCCTTTATATATATATATCAGCCAACAAATTAATCCATTAATTTCAAAATTTTCTTTTGTAAAAAAGTTTTATTTTTTTAATTATTGAAATTAAATCCTATACTATTTAATGAAATAAATCAACACTTTTATTTTTAAATTAAATAAAATTAGCCCTCTTATATTTAAATTAAAATAAATTAACTCAAATTTAATTAATGATATTATCCTTGGTTATAATCCTGTTAATTCCCTTTTGTTACCGTTAACTTTCTATAATTTTTCTTGCATTTCATTAACTTCTTGCAGAACAAACAAGTATGGGCTTATCATTTTTTTTTCTTTCTCTTTTTATGATGTGACAATCACTTTGCCTATAACAAAATAAGTGACAAAAACTGCATAACATGTCGACACCACAATATTAAGGTCGATACTTTTGCTTCAAGTTTTAAAAGTATGCAAAGTTTTAATGTAGAGTATCAACATTATAGTGTTGGTGTTGACACAACACCCATGCCGAATATTTAAATCTTTTTGTCATTTCTTTAATGGTAAAATA